GGTTTATTTGATTAAGGCTAAAATAACTTTTTTTTTTTTTTTGCAAAGTTCTGGCAGCTTTATGGACTTTTGCTGACACCAGGATTGAAAAATTGATGTTTTATGGATTTGCTTATAGATAAGGGACAGGATATGGGATGAAGAGATATCTGTTTAACCTTATAGGGGGTGAAGAATTATTTAATTTATTGCTATTGTGATGAAGGTTGGAAGTCACTTCTTCATATATTTCTTTTCTTTTTCTTTATTATTCTTTCTTTTCTTTCTCTTCTTTCTTTTTCTTTTTTCTTGCACTTTTTATTCTTTTTTTCCCCATTCTCTTCTCTTTCTCTAAGTTTAGTTTGTATTAGTTTTTACTGTTGTAATTAAACTTCTTAATAAAATTATATTCAAAAAAAGAATGTACTAAGAAAACCATTACAAGATCATAGTTGACCATTATTCTGTTTCATCTGAAATCTACTGTTGATTACTCAATTCTATTGAATTCTTTATTACATCTGTATACAATCTTTCTCAAAGTAAACCTTAACTGAAAGAAGTTTACAAAGAGATTTTTTAAAAACCCAAATTTGGGGGATTCACTTCAAACCTAGACATATTTATTAAGAAACGTTCATTCACCTTGGCCTCTGATTATTTTTTTATTTCATTAAATATACGTACTTGATTGTCTTTACACAAAGGCTTTGATTGTTTAGAGCATAACAAATTGTGGACAGCCCTTAAAAACATGGGTAAACTAGGCCACCTCATCTGCTTATTGAAGAATTTGCATTATGGCCATGAAGCAACATAAGGAAAGAATATGGAGTAATTAAATGGTTCCAAGTTGAGCAAGGCTGTAAACTATTACTTTTACTTCCATGCAAAACATATTATGAGAACTGGTGAACTAGGACAAATGAAAACTGGAATTGAAATTGCTGAGAGAAACTTCAGATACCAGTTTGATGGCAAGTAATGAAAATATCTTAAGGTGAAGAAAGTACAAAAGCTGGTTTGCTGAACAATATTAAAGAAAACTAAGATAATGTCAACAGGTAATACCAACTCAATGCAAATAGTCAGAGAAGTTGAAGTAGTAACAGATTCAAAAATTCATAGGATGATAACAGTAGTCATGAAATTAAAGGATGCTTGCTACTTAAAAGGAAGACTGTAAATCTAGACAGAATGTTAAAGTGCAGGGACACAACAAAGATACATATTTTCAAAGCCATGGTTTTCTCAGTTTTAATATAATGACATGAAAGCTGAGCCATCAAAAAGGAAAAATATTGATTCCATGGGATTGTGCTGCTGGAGAAGATAGTTGAGAATACCTTGGACCTCAAAAGAACAAATCATTCAGTACAAGATAAAGTAAAACCAAATTACTTACTGGGAGCATTAATAATGAAGCTAAAACTGAAATATTTTGGACACATAATGCAAAGGTAAGAATCATTGAACAAGACTCCAGAACAGTTGAAGACAAAAAGATGCTGACAACAGACAAGGTGGCTAGATATTCTCACAGATAACACAAGCATTATAATTTACAAAACATCAGAGATGCGGTTTCTGACAGATAATCCTTGAGACATGATGTCCATTGGGTCACAAAGAGTTGGAAGAGACTGAACAACTACAACCTTGGACTTCAGTTTTGTGTTGAATGTTGGGAAGAGGTTTCATTTGGCTTTCTAAATGGTTCACTGTTGGTAGAGAAATGCAGAAATAACTTGTCTTTTGCACATGAGCCTATACTTCTAATCATGGCTTAGTTTGGAGGTTCACTCAGAAAGTTCGAATCTTACCCAGTGTTCATCTTTGTTAACATGACATTTGTTTGACTTGTTAAGACAATCCCTCTTTCACCACCTCATCACGCCCAGCTCATGACATCACCGCTGACCTGCACTGCCGTTTTGTACTGCTGAGATAAAATTCCTACCTTTTCCTGTTGATGATGTTTTTTAAACTGAAGACTTTAGGATCAAGAGTGAAGAAACATAAAGATCTTTTGGGGCCAAAAGTTATTGAAACACCTGCAAAGGAAGGTGACAAATGAATTGCTGGGAACTATAACACTGTTTTGGTCATTTCCCTACTTAACAGGTCTTCTAGCTTCGTTCAGCCATTCTTGAGGCAGAAAGACTGTCCTTATTCCTCTAATCAGCACAACAATGGTTGGGGCTGTAGAACAAGGGTCTCAGATAGTCATGAGTTCTGTATGAGGACTGGTTCATTAGCCCAAGGGCCAGAACTCTTCTCATACCTTGGTACAAAAATCTATAGTGAGTCAAAATTGAAGAAAATGAAAAGTATTATAATATGTGATTAAAAATAAAGGTATTAATTAAAAAAGAACCTTTTCTGTGAAACAGAGAGATTTCACTTTGGCCACTTAGCATTTTTCATTCATCAAAACACCATTATTTGGTTTTATTGCTAGGTTGATATGTAATTTTTTTCAAGCTCTTATCTAGGATTAAATCATCTAGGGAACCCACCCCATTAAGAGCTGCCCAAATCCTACTGTTCTTTTTCTTTTTTTCTCATTCCTGTTCAGTAGAGACCCCTTTTGATTCTTGTTCGGTTTCTCTTTTCTTCCACCAAGCCTCTCCTTCTGTTCCTTTAGTTGCTTGCTCACTATCTTTCCCATTCCTTCCTTGGTAGAAAGACCATTATGGCAGGGAGATGGCAGACCCAGCCCTCCTCGATGGCTGCCTCCTCCTTCTCTCCCATGAACATCCCAGAAGCATTGCCTGTCCTGATGTGTAAGAGTGGTCAGGGGTTCCCAGAGAGCGGTATTGTGAAAGGACTCATTGCACAACCCAGCCAACCAAGCTCTGCTGTTGCCAGGAAATCCACCAGGTCAGGCCAAAGCAACTGCCACTAGGGTGTTCCTCTTCCTGGAATGCTTCCATTGGTCCAGCCTGCACATCTACATGGCACTGTCAGCATCCATACCTGGTCTTGCTAGGCAATATCCACAGAAAATGACTTGGAGGGCCATGTGTAGCCCATGGAGCATGAGTTTGAGTCCCCTGCTCTAGAAGATGCTACAACTAACTAGTGAGAAAATGGAAACATTGCAGGTTTCTAAAACGTACCCCTATAAAAAAGCATGTGCTTTAAAAAAAAAAATGGACATGTTTTCTACAGCAAGACAACCTGCTTTGCAGAATACCAACTACTTACTGATTCATACCTTCTGTAGCCTTATACATGCAGAGTACTTGAATCTTTCCACATGTAGACCTCTAAAAGGTTTCAGTCTGACTCCTGGTGACTACTGCCTGGAGAGTCCAAGTTGTTTTCTTGATAACAGTATGCAGTTTACCACTGCATTCTTCCAAAATGCTTTTTGAAATTCCCGGTCTAAACCCTGGGATTTCTGGCAGTCTCCCATCCACATACTGGCCAGGTCTGACCTTGGGGGGAATCAACCAAGGTTGGCTAGGTGTTGCCACCTACTGTGGCAAAGATCTTTAGAAAGTGTTTGAAATATTACTTCCTCCTAGCAGTAATTTTCAAAAGGATTCATCAGTAGGCATCACAGAATATTTTTCTTGTATTATTGGCAGGAATCCCAGGTAGCAAATACTGGGATCATATTAGTGTATTCTTAAAAAGAATGTTGTGAACTAGCTTAAACTAAGGGAAGGACCAAATTAATAAAAATTAGTTTGGTGAAGTGAAGAAGTGCCAACAACCATTATTAGGAAACCAAAGAATATGCTATTTATGTTAAATAAATGAAATAAAACTAGATCATTTTCAAAACCAATCCACCGTTGTGAGAACTAGTAAATCGGTCTATAACTCTTAAAAACTTTTTTTTTCACATAGCCACTAGGATCTGGTGATCTGTGATGCTAAGATGGGAACAGGATTACGAATTTAGAGACAGTGCTCAAAGATATGTCTTCTTAAATTCCAAGGCATTTGCTTTTCTTGGAAATATTTTGGGTTTTCCTAAGACTTAAATTATCAGTTTCATTTGTTTGTTCTTAGGTTAGGCACCTTAAGCTTCATATCAAAGTTTTCTAATTAGGGTTTTTTTGTTCGTTTGTTTTTCTTTGGCTACCCAAGACCATGTGATGGAAAAATTTAGAACATGCCTAAACTTACAGGAGGAAGATCACTTGAAAAAGGTTATTTACACTGCATTACCCTACATGTAAACTAATGAATAAATTCACACAGTAACCAGCCTAGTCTGACCTGGCATGGTGAACAGAAGAAAAATAGGTCATCCCTACAACAGGAAAGTGTTAGAAAAGGACGAATTAATACAATGCACAGGGGCGTGCTGGATTCACATATTACACTTAAGCTGTAATGTGCTTTATTTGATTATGGGTGTCCATGGTATGTAAAGCTAGGTTTTATGATCTATAAACCATTGCAGATACAAGTACAGTATACAGTATATGAACTGAACTACTGTACTGTGGTTATTCCATGTCTTATTGCAAGAGGTTTGGCCACATCCTACCTGAATCTTCTGAAATGGAGATGGAAAATAAAGGACCTCGTAAGTACCATGGGACCTCTTCTTCTTTCTTGGCTGAAAAAGCAGAGGAGGGTGGATAATTTAGCTGAAAGAAACAGCAAGTTCTTCCGATTTTTTGTTCTGAACAAACTTAGGCTATTTCTTTTCTCCTAATCCAGATCTCCTTCCCCCTCCCTCTGAATAAATAACTATATGGATGTTCTCTGATTTACGACTTAGAGCAGAGATTGCTGGGATTGTAAAAATATGAAATGCTGATCAAAAATATTGATTTTATTTCCTAAATAAATTATTTAGTGGCAGTATAATCTATGTTCTATGGGATTTTCATTATTTTTAAAACCCTCTCTTCTACCCATTCAGATCCACATTCAGCATGGATTCTTGGAAACTGAAAAACTTTGACAGAAGAACAGGCTATCCTGGTAGTTGTTTCCCCACTAGGGATAACTAATGCAATGCATTCTATGTCTTCCCTATTAAGGTACAGATACCTTTCCCACATGAATGTCATCTGGGTATAAGAATCTACTAGTGATAATCATGGCTGGGGAAATCCCCTCTCCGGTAGGAGTTGCGGAAGGAAGAGAGGTTCCACACCATTGTTCTGTGATGGTTTAAGGAAGAAAGAACAGATGAGATAGATCTTTTCAGTTATGGAGGGGAGACAGGATAGAGAGAAAGTGTTGTATAAGCAAGGTTAAAATAGAAGTTGCCAATCACTGAGATGACTCTGCGAACTACAAATGAGAGAAGGCTGAAAGTGAACAGAAAGAAAGTTAGATATTATACCATGCAGAATTCATGATTTCACATAATAGAGAATTGATGTTGTCCAGATATTTGGGGTTTTAATTCTCACTAGCCTCAAATGACACAATTAGTAGAAGAAAGGATTAGGGAAATCTTGGTTGACAATGAAAGGCAGTTACGCTGAAGAGCATGAAATACCTTTGTCAGATAGAAGGCCATTCTTTCAAGACAATAACTTTGGAGTAACAAATTTTGAATCTTATCTATGTAAAGAAATTTCTAATAAGATGAAAGCTTACCAGAATAGGAGTCCGAGGTCCCAAACATCTCTCGGAAAACATCCCAGGGGCTGCGAAAGGTGAATCTCAACTCTTCTTCAGAAACTGAAGGGAAAATAATGATATTTGCAACATGTCACTCACATCTTGAGTTCCCCTCAGTGTGGAATTTCTACAAAAAAATAATGGGGTGATTCCTCTCTGTCTCTGTTTCTCCCACTTCCCAGAGAATAGCTGTGTAATTAAGATGAAAAGTTCTCAAGTTAAAGTCCCATGAAAACCACCTTTAGCTATGGAGAGCTATAGGAAAATCAATGTGGTGATGACTAATTTTACACCAGTCTCCATTGTTTGGATGAAGATTAGTAAAGCTTGCAAATGATTTGCATTTTCAGCTATCACAGTAGTACTGTACGCATAGTGCAGGTTTGATATTATTCCCTCAAATTTTGAAACCATGCTCATCTTCTTTCAATCCAGCCCCCCTCAAATATATATCCAACACAGAAGTTGAGTAAATAACAAGAGAGTATGCAGCCTTGTCTCACTTCTTTGCCAATCTGCAGCTAGTCTGTTTCACCATGTTCTGTCTGGACTGTGGCTTCCTGTCCTATGTATAGGTTTCTCATGAGGACAAGGAGATGTTCTGGGATTCCTATTTTTCTAAGCATATTCTACAGCTTTATGTGGTCAACACAATCAAAGGCCTTTCTATAATCAATGAAGCGCATACTAACTTCATTTTGCTATTCTTTGGCTTTCTCAATTATCCGGTGTACATCAGAAATAATGTCTCACGTTCTTCGCCTTTTATAAACTCAGCTTGTGCATCTGGTATCTCCCATTCCATGTACCGCTTTAATCTGCATTGGATGATCCTAAGAATTATTTTGCTAGCATGTGAAATTAAGGATATTGTGTGATCGTTTGCACATTCTATTAATTCTCCCTTCTTTGGTACTGGTATGTAGATTAATCTCTTCCTATCTTTTGGCTCCTGTGCCATTCTCCAGATTTGCTGGCATAGTTTGGCTAGAATCTTTACTGACCCTCTCCATTGGTGTCCTTTAGCATACCAATTCAAAGTTGGAATCTCTTTCTGAGTTTGGAGATCTTTCAGAAGACTTTCCTTTTTCCTATCTGTTTCCATCTTTATAGATGTCAGTATAATACAATTTGTCTCTTCTGAGTGCTATCTGAAATTCTCTGTGATATTCCTTCCTGAGATCTTTGTCTTTCTCGGCCTTGGTTTCTCTTCCCTTTTTGGCAATTTCCACTATCAGTTCTGACACCCAGTTTGCTTTCTTCTGTTTCTTGGTTTTTATCAATCTCCTTTCATCTCCATCCTTTAACAACTTCTTCAATTTCATTCCACAGTTCCTCTGTTTCCTTTTCAATGAAGTTCAGGACTTTAAAGCAATTTCTGATGTTCTCCTTGAAAATGGTAATTATATACTCAAGACCGTATTGTGGAAACTGGTTGGCTTTGTTTTTCTGCCTTTAGCTTGACTTGAAACTTGCACATGAGCAGTTATGATTTATTCCATAGTTAACCCTTTGCTATGCCTTTTCTGTTATAACTTTACCTCCTCCTACCAATAATATAGTCAGTCTGATTTCAGTGTGTTCCATCTGGCGATATTCATGTACTTAGGCATTGTTTTGATTGTTTGAATAATGCTTTGCAATGAAGAAATCACTAGATTGGTAGAAAGTGGTGAGTCATTCTCCTGCTTCATTTCTTTTTCCTAGGCATATAGTCCAATTACAATTTTTTCCTTACTATTTCCAACTTTGGCATTCCAGTCTCCAACCAAAAGCAGCACATCTTGTTTGCATGTCCTGCCGATTTCAGATTGAACTTGACCATAAAACCCATCAACCTCCTCTTCTGCATCAGCAATTGGAGCATAAAGTTTGGTAGTAGTAAACTACAATGGATATTAAAGGGTTATCCGCAAAGTCTAATTGATATTATTTGGTCATTGACCAAATTGTATCCAAATGCTATCTTTTCTATCTCCTTCCCAACTGCAAAAGCAACACTGTTCCTTCTTTATTTTTTGTCTTCTCACTAGTAAATAGTATAATCTTCTGAGTGAGAGTCCAATTCCAGTCCATTTCAATTTGCTGATATCTAAGATATCTATGTGTAGTCAATTCATTTCTTCTTGCACTGCGTTGAGCTTTCCATATTCATGCTTCTTATGTTCCATGTGCCCACTGTAATTCTGCCTTTGCAGTTTCGGATTTTTTTTCCTGCATGGCAACATCAGCAATTAGACATCCTGAAGACTGTGTTATAAACACCATTAATACTCTGAAAGTTCCTCAGCTCTTCCTCAGTAGCATGTTTAAGTGTCATCTGACCTAAGGATCCCATCATCCAGTACTATATTATCAATTGTTTTATCTTGTCTGACCATGTGGATTTCTTAGTAAAGTATAGGAATGGTTTACCATTGTCTTCTCCTGCACAGGATGAAATGATGCCTTTGCCATTGTCACTAAAGTGATCATCTGCCTCCACCATCTTTCCAAATGACTGCTGCCAAATATAAGTGTCTGGGCAGTTGGGGTGACCTGGGGTGACCCTACTGGGATTCTATACTCTTGGTATACCCTCCCAGCATTCTTTGCTCATTCTTCCAAGGCACGCTTCCCTCACCACCACCACCACTACCTCAACAATGTGGCGGAGGGAGGGAGGGAGGGAGTTGGATTATTACAAAGCTATTTTTACCTGGGAGGGAGTTGGATTAAAGCTATTTTACCTGAGAGGGAGTTGGATTATTACAAAGCTATGTTGTTAATATTTCACTTCCAATGCTCATTTCAAGTTCAGTTTCTCCAACATTTAGGCTACTCACTCTCATTTATAGGCTTTTCCAATTAGTCTGGAATGATCTTTCTGTTTACAATCCTCCCATTTGTTTCCCATTGCTCATTCTTTTGTTTTCTTTTCTTTTTAATTTCCAGGAAAAATGTTAAGGGGGGAATAACAGAATAATGACATAATATTTTTAATTGATAGCACTGGGGGTGCTCTATATTGAAACATTCACAAAATATGCATTGACAAATAAATATTACGACATCCTAACAAATATTTGTACTTATGTCCTCTGGGTATCACTTCAAACCAGCTTAGTATCATAGGAAAAGAGGCGTGGGGAATTGTTTTGGCCCTTGTTATGGGCACAGGATTGATTTGGGCAGCATGGGAAGTGAATAGGTTTTGGAAGGTGCATGAGACAGATGGTAGAAGAGCTACTCCTCACCTGTTGTGAGTCCATCCCCATAGCAGTCATAACGTTCCCTCTTGACCTCTAAAGAAGAAAGACATGTACCTGGTTACCTCTCAAGTAAATCACTATTCTATGCTGACCCACAAAATTGCTGACTTAGGACTCATCCACACACCTGCACTGATGTGAGTTCATCCTCTCCTTAAGAAGGAAAGGCTGGTTGTGTTACTGCTTGCCCAGATGGTATTGTGAGTGTCCTTCAGGGCAGTGATTAGTGGGTGGTATAGGAATTTATGACGGAAAGATTTTGGAAAGAAATATTTTGCAAAGCCCAAAATAAAACGAATAATAAAAGAGGCCCAGGGCAACCACAACAGAAGGATTGGAGCATTCTGCAGCTGGCAGCCCATCAGCTTGGGCGGTCTTTTTTTTTTTTTATTGTAATATTATAAATCTTGATACACTGTATTATTTCAATGCAGATCTCAATGCAGCAATATTTATGTAATATGAGTGAAAATTATGAACATTCTATTATTTAGAAGGCTTAAAGTATTGAAAATAAAAAGAGAAAAGTAAAAATTCCATTAGTAATAACTGCAGTTTAAGATGTCAGTATTACAAACATAAAATTATTTAACTTTTCATGCAAAGTTAAGTATAACATAAAAAAAGAACCTCTGCCATTCACATCAAAGTTATATAATAAGTTTCAGTTTTGAACTTATTGCTTAATATTAATATCTCCACTGTATTGTTACTTTGTGTGTGTGTGTGTATTGATATGTTGACAGAAGGAAATAAGAGATAGATGAAACAAACTTAACAAAAATTAAAATACCTGAAAAGTAGAAAAAAAGAAAAATGGAAATGATGATGATGATGATGATGATGATGATGATGATGATGATGATGAAAAAACTATTGATTTCTGACTCCCCCTTTTTGAACATTTGCTAATTTGCGATATTTGTAAGCATTCAAGCCCCCTTAAAAGCCATCCTGTAAGTGGATATATTTACCATGCTATGTGACGTGTTGTATCTATGGGAACCATTCTTGCTTAAATTTGGTTAAACTT